CCTCACATAGAGAAGAAATCAAGCACCAATTGGCATGTGGAGTGTAAACACCACACACACACCACACACACACACACACACACACACACACACACACACACACACACACACACACACACACACACACACACACACACACACACACACACACACACACACACACACACACACACACACACACACACACACACACACACACCACACACACACACACACACACACACACACACACACACACACACACACACACACACACCACACACACACACACACACACACACACACACACACACACACACACACACACACACACCACACACACACACACACACACACACACACACACACACACACACACACACACACACACACACACACACACACACACACACACAGTGTGGTCCTATTAGCTTTGGCCGCTGTTCCAAAGGTAAACACACTCACTGCTGATAAGACCAACTGATTGGTTGGAGGGGAGTAAAGCCCGGAGGAAAGAGAGGAGGAAAATCCCCCTGATGGAAAATCACCTCTCAAAGTCAGAATGACGGACAAAGAGGAAGCAGTGGTTCACGCTTGTTCAAATAAATAAATTTGATCTTGATCAGATCATCAGATGCTGCTGAAGTTCTCTTTATTCTAGATAGACGACTTAACTGATGTTCACGCCTAACGGCATGCCGAAGATACCACATTGAAACCACAAGAACCAGAGTTAGTAGCATGTGTTTTCTCGTGCTAATTTCTGATTTAGTAAAGATAAAGAAAGTTGAAGAAAATGTCAGTAATATTGTCACGATCTGTCTGTGTTTTATTTTTGTCCTGTGTCGATCTGTCTTTTTGGTTTCCTGTTTTAGTTTGAAAAGTGTTTAACCCCTGTCTTGTCTGTTGCTTCCTGTCTCTGTGTTCCCTCCTGCCTGATTACCCGATTCTGTTCACCTTGTGCCCCTGTGTTTTCTCCTCCCTCCTCACCTGTGGTTAAACCTGCATTTGGGTCCTGCCTGCTTCGCTCAACCCTGACAAATATACATATAAACAAACTACTGGGGGCGGCAGTAACTTAGTCTGTAGGGACTTGGCTTTATAACCAAAGGGGCACTAGTTCAAGTCCCGATCGGACCAAAAATACAGCGTGTCGACTGGTAGCTCGAGAGGTGTCCTTGAGCAAGGCATTGAAGCCACAAATGCTTTCTTTGCTCTGACACCTATCAATAAAAAAATGCATGTTTTGTACCTATATATATGATAACAGAGTGAAACACTATATTTCCAGTTGAGGGATCACTGCGATCTTAACAAAGTGAATACAACACTTTAAAAACAGCAATTAATAGTGAATTTTTTTGTTTCATATTCAGTAAATATGTAGAAAAAGGATTAAAACACTGATAACGTTCACAAAGGGCATTTCTGTTGATTCCAAGTAAATACGTTTAAAATATTGAGGACATTTTAATCAAAAAGCTTCTTATTTTCATTTAAATTTCCTGATAAATTGGTCGAAAACTCACAACAAATAACGAAGACTTCCGCATGATTAGCATCACTTAGCTCACAGGGTTTTTGTAAAAGAAAGCGTCTGCATTTTGAGTGCAGCGGTTAAAGGTTCAACATAAAGCATCAGACAAGGTGTGGAGCGCTGTCTCTCCTCCTGACGTCAAACTGAGGGTAGAGGGGCCTGTGGCGTGAACTGCTAAACTTTATTCAAACAAACACAAATCAGTTCAGATCTGGCAACCCTCGATTAGGAAGCTCGACCAACCTGCTTCTGAGGGGCCGCCTCAACTGTTGTCCTGTCAAATAAATTCAAGAGAGGCAGGGGGCCAAAGGTTGGGAGGACCCCGGTGATTAAAGGATAATAAACGTGAACTCTCCTGGAACAATATTGGGCAGAGTCCTGTGAGGGCGAGCGTCTCAGAGGCACTTTGACACTTATTAGTTGAACATAACACGGGAACAAAAACCCTCAAGTGAAAGGTTCAGTAAAAACAGAGACAGCAGTCACGAGCACCTGCTGCCACGGAGAGACAACACCATCAGTAAACCAGAATGACTTTGTATTCTAGATGCCTTTTTAGATGTTGATTTGAATCAAATGTACATGTTTTATATACAGTAAATAGTTTTACTGTTATACAGCGCTTTCAAAAGGTGATCAAAAACACTTTACAGGTACATTACATTCATAAATGATGAAAACAGTCCTCTTTTAAATGAAATAATATCATTTGTTTCCACAAGTTTCATTGTATCTTTGGTTAAAGTGTATGTAAAGGGACTTAAACGTAAGAAGGAAATAAGTCATTTTTGGTGGACCTTAATAATTGGGCAGAATAAACGCATTTTTTAAAACGTATGTAAACGACCCGCTCCCAATGCCTGACTAGAAATTGCATTTTGTTTTGAATACACATTTGTACCTGTGTTTATAATTGGCATCAGTTGATTAGAATAATATCACAGAATCTTTATTCCTATAATTGTATGAATGAATAATAAACAAATAAACACGACAAATAAAATAGGATTCTTATCTTAATCTAAGGACGTTTTTAAGCGAGAGTGCTCACATATTTATTTCAGCTACTTCAACTGTGTCCTTATTTTAACTTTGCATAACCATTAGCTTCAACAGCAGAACATCTAACATTGAATTGAAGCCAGAGAGTGCTTAACCATCAATTTTTCATTAACAGTAACTCAACCTGTTTGTTAGTACATGTTACATCCTGCAGAGCGCGCGCGCGCGTGTGTATGTGTATGTGTATGTGTATGTGTATGTGTATGTGTATGTGTGTGTGTGTGTGTGTGTGTGTGTGTGTGTGTGTGTGTGTGTGTGTGTGTGTGTGTGTGTGTGTGTGTGTGTATAGACCCTGAGGGCTAACTGTCAGAAACAGATAACAGGATCATTACAGCAGCGGCAGCCTGTGATCTTCATGGAGACTGAAGGGACGTTATTGCGCTCGTTTACAGACACACTGCTCTCTCTTTTTTTTTTTTTGTACACTCTGTTCTTCTCCTTATTCTGCCTTCAGCGATTTGCCCGCCTGCTAAATTGCCACAGCCAATCAGAATTCAGAATGAAGACGACAAGAGGCGACAGTCTCACGCAGATTGAGTCTCATTATTTCCTCCAAACGTCCTTCATCTCTGCTCTTTCCCTCTCACTGATCTCGCGTGTTCAATGAATCACTGAATATCAGGTGTTCAAGCAGTGGGTATCTGAATAAATGAGAATATATGAATACATAATATAGCTGATCAGTGCTTCAGTAATATTCCTTTTGAGTGCAATTAAGCTGGTGTCTCTTTGATAAACAGTGATGAAATGATATTTAAAATTAAAGGGGACCTATGATGCAAAATGCACTTTTGTACGTCTTTTATACATGAATATGTGTCCCCGGTGTTCCAGGGAACTCACCAAGTGTCAGAAAACACAACCCTCTCTATTTCCTCCATACCCAAATCTCTAAAAAAGGGGGCTGCAACGGATCTGATCAAAACTGATCCAGATTTGAACACTGTCCTGACGTCAGGACCGTGGCGCTACGGCTATTGGGCCAACTCCACCAATCAGGAGGAGACAGTCACGGCCATTGCCGTTCGAAAGCGCTGGAGACGCTGTAGTACATATGCCAGGCCTGTAGATGGTGCTGTTCTCACTGAATCTGCCCTTGCTAAAACAGAGCTAAAAAATGTCAAATTGAGCAAAATGAGGCATGGCTAAAATGCATGATCTGTTTGGTATTTTGAAAAAAAAAAAGTATAAATATGCCTTATATAGGTATGGTCCTACACTATATTATTCAAATATAGCATGATAGGTCCACTTTAAATAAAAGAAAAGGGAGGGTGATGCCATACAGAGGCATAAACAAGCAAACCAAAGCCAGTCGGAGAAAAAAACTAAAACTAAAACTTTAGGCAATGTTAGCTCTCCTTGTCTCCTGCACCCTTACCCGGCCTGTCAGCCTCTTCTGGTAATTCAGCACCCTTCCTCTGACTTTTTAGTTTCTATGAATGTGCGTGCAAACTTAACCTAGCTACATAATTACAGATGTTTCTACTGTAATGTCAGGGGCAAAGTGGCCTTCCAAAAATATTGAACAAAGCATGGACAGCAATACAAAAGCAGCTCCTCACACACATCTGATAAACAGGTAATCTTTTTCTTTCAGTTTGACGCAACTGCCAGTCAGTCCATTCATCGCTCCATCAGCTGAATCAATCTAAACCATGAAGGCATTTTTTAAAGAATGTGTAGCAGCAACAACAATGTGTTTCTGCATGAACTGACGTCACTACGATACCAACACACACTTTACAAAGAATGTTTGAATGTTGTAAAGATCGTCATAGAGGCAGCAAAACACAAATGCAATGATGTGTTATCAGCAGCTGCAACAATAACATTGGTCTGAATGGTATAAAATGGCCAAAATGGCATTTTTGCCCAAAAAGAGGAGAATTCAGTATGGTAGAGTACAATAACATGTCCTCTCACGGTTTGTTTGATATTATCTTTTTTTACGAGAAGCTATTTTGTGTGTGTTTTTTTCCACAAATACACCAGGAGCGATTAGGGCGCCTGAAGTGCAGAATATGCTAAGGCAATAAAACTAATTGCATGGGGTTTATGTTGAAATAACTAGCCTATGTTTACGTATTTAACTATCTAAATACGTAAGTTTGTTAACAAAAAAGTGTTAAAATAAGCCAACATTAACTTTGGGTTTCACACAAGACCTGAACCGCAGTCTAAAGGGTTTAAATCCTGGTTTTCTTTTACCCATCCATTCTCCACAACCTCATCCTTATGTAGACTTATGCTAGATTTATAAAATTATTATTATTCGCTTCACTTCCTTAAAGGCTGTACAGTAAGCTCACAATGATTTGGCTTACAAACAAATTGTTGCACCACTTTTTGTGTGTATATGGACCAAGAGGGAATGAGAAAAGAGTAGAGAGTAGAGGAGAGGTAGAAAATGAAACCCTACCTGCTCCAATTTGAAGATGTGTTGGTTGAAGTAGTGCTGCAGTCGTTCGTTGGCGAAGTTGATGCAGAACTGTTCAAAGCTGTTGTTTTCATAATCCTCAAAGCCAAAGATGTCCAGGACTCCTATGGACAGGGTCTGGAGGAAAAACACAGACAGCTCAGTTTCCATTAATACTTTACATATTTATAGGATCAGGATATTAAAAACAAAACCCTCCAGCAACACTGTTCTTAATTATTTAGAGATATTTGTATTGTGTTTCATTGATGCCTTTTCTTCACAGCTCCAGTGACCCGGTTTGCCCCCTGGGTGTCAGTAAGATTCATGACATCATAACATGCACCATCTGAAGGAGGCGTCCACTCAAAGGCGGCCTTTAATTATGAAATGGGCCGTAAAAGCTGTTTCCAATTAATATTTATTTTTTTCCAGCCGTGTTTATTTCTCTCTGAAGGGCAATGTAGTAAAAACATACATGAGCACACGCATATATAAACTGTTATCTGTACATAAGAACAATGACCTTGACAGGAAAGTGCAACCTCATCGACCCCCTGACAGCAGAGAGAGAGGACAAACACACACACACACAGATGATGTCAGTGCCAAGGGATGCAGACACACACACACACACCAAGGGCCGCAGGGGGTAAACTGAGCTGAGGGGAACCTGATGCCATCTGCCCAAATGTTCTTGGCACACACACACCCACAGAAACACACACACTGTTTTCTAATCCTTTAGATGCACCCACAGGGTTTACTTGCCAGCTGCCACTCCAACACACACACACACACACACACACACACATCACACACACACACACACATCACACACAACACACACACACACCACACACACACACATCACACACACACACACACACACACCACACACACACACACACACACACACACACACACACACACACACACACACACACACACACACACACACACACACACACACACACCACACACACACACACACACACACACACCACACACACACACACACACACACACACACACACACACACACACCACACACACACACCACACACACACACACACACACACCACACCACACACACCACACACACACACGAATTTTTATATCACACTGAGAAAGCCATAGCAGAGAATCAACAGTTTATGGGGTGAAAATGTTGTTTATGTCACTCTTTTCATATATGTTTGAGAAAATAAAATGTGGCTCTCCTACAAATATTGTGTATTTCTGTGTGTGTACTTATATATGTGTTTGTGTTTTTTTTTATCCCCCCTACCTTTGAGTTGTCCTCGAGGTCCTTGTTTGTTGAGCAGAGCATGGTTGGTCCTGAACACGATCCAGTCAAACAGAGCGCTGTACAGGGACTTAGCCATGGAGTCTCTCACCGTGCCCGCCTAAAAAAAAAAAAGAACACACACACACGTCAGTTTCTTCATGATCCAAATCATATGGATTTCTAAATCTGAATCAGGAACCAAAACTGTGTTATCAATCCCCTCACCCTCACTGAGGTGCTCAACCTTTTTGATTTCCCAGTGTTTCTATGGTTGTGTTAAATACCCAGCAACCAGTTAAATGTTTCTGCTTTTTGATTATTGACTTATTTTCCTTGTCTATGGGTGTTGTGTGCTGCCGTTTTTTTCAACAGCATGGCGCAAAGTCATTCTGCAGGGTGGCCGTTGTATTACAGGAACCTGCCGACTTCACTACATCAAACACTCGCCAACTGAGGTCAGCGCTTCTCCACAAACACAACAATAATGGTTCCCTCTCTCCTCTCTGGAACTGGATCAGTGTCATGTTAAACGTGTGAAATGGGCAGAGAAGAGGTCTAATGAACTGCTCTCTCAGGGAGAGGCTGAGTCATCTGATGGGAGTCACTGAGGGAACAAAATGAAAGAAACCACAAGGAAAAGCAGAGCAGAGAGACAGCTTTGAAATACTGTGGTGAAAAACTGGAAAGGAAAGTGTTTTTGAATCAAAAATAGGACTGTCGTTAATTTGATATGGCACAATAAAATCTGTTTCACATTATTACTCACACAAATAATTAGTTGATGACAAATAATGAATTGCCAACAAGTGTTTAGGTCATTTATAAGGAGAAAGAAATACGCAACATTTGCTGTTGAATGCATCGTGAGTTGGGTTTGACTATTTATTGACATTTTATTGATTATACATTTTTAAGTATTACAGTAGGTTCAATAGTAAATGTAGGCTACTCCCTTACCAGAATTAGATAAAATAGATCAATACCAATCTCATATCCGTATGGTACATTTCAAACTATGGCCAGGAGGCTATTAGCTTAGCTTCCCATAAAAACTAGCAGTAAGGGAAACTGCTCAACTGGTTCTTACTAAAGTTGAAACATATCTTTTTATTTTTTGAAAGAGACAGTTTTTGGGTGGTTTTATGAAGAGTTAGCTAAGGTGCATGTGTTGTTTTTCACCTTGTGACAAAGCCAGGCTAGCTTTGTCCCACTGCGTCCAATCTTTATGCTAAGCTAAGCTAAGCTAATTGCAAGCTGGTTCATATTTTGCATTATCTTATACACATGAGAATGCTATCAATCTTCTCCTCTCACCTTCTTATCAAAAAACTAGCTAATAAAGAACCATACATCAACAATATGTTTAGATACATCATTAACAACACTAGCACCAGGCTGCCAACATTAGCATTCATCTGATCTGTCTCAAGGGACAAAAGTAGCCTACCTTTTAGCTGAATTTCATCAATGCTAACAGTCTGAAAACAGCTATACATCTGTGATTTAGAGATGGGAAATGCCAGGCTGTTGTTATTAATAAATTGTCAAAGGGTTAATGACATCAGCTTCTTTTTATTTATAGGCTAAACACGGCCTGTGTTAAAGCTCCCGCGCTGCTCGTGACTCTGAGTTACTGTTCATAATATGTTCAGGAGCCTTGCTGGGAGAAGTGTTGTAATATTTTAGGTGTTTTCATTCAGGAGCCAGAGCTTTTAAGTGCCTCCAGACCTGCAGATCACTATTTGAACAACTCTTTTTAGATCCATTAAAACAACGCTGCCAAAAGGAGCCATTATTACGCCTCTACAAGCCAAAGAGCAACTATGCTTTCTCTTTAGGCATGATGAAAGGCATGCTAAGCTAACATAAGCATAATTAAATGGAGACTTGGACATCAGTGCATGGTGTTAGGCAGCAAAACGTGTTATGATTGAATGGTGAGAGGAACAAGACAGAGTCTGCTTAACTAGGTCAAACATTTTCATGGCAGGAGCCCCGAAATAACTATGCATTAAAACAGAGATCCCAATTTGAAGAGACTAATCCAATCACAGTTTCATTTAACAGGGATTGAAACATGAAATGGGAAATCAGGGTTGACTACAGAATCACACTTTCTAAAAGACCCAGTAAAAAGAGAAAGGTACCCTGGATTTCACTATTTTACCTTATAATCACTAAACTGATTGACCTGTGTTGTGTTTTTATCTCAAGTACAGACACTACAGAACAACAGGATGTTTAATTATGTACACCTGTTTGTCAAATAAACAAGTCTGAATTAACAACACATGTGTAATTTATGTTAAACATTACCATCCTTCCAAACAGCTCAATAGGATGCACCGGACATCTGAATGTAAATTAATTTTCTAACATCTTATCTTCATCCTCACTCCTCGAATTTTCTTCCTCTGTCCCTTATCACTTACATTGAAATGTATTTAGGAATGCATCCCATAGGCATATTTCTTGTTTTTAGACATACTTGAACCTATCCTTTAATTCAGGGGTGTCAAACTCAAATACACAGTGGGCCAAAATTACAAAATCTGTACTAGTCGAGGGCCGGACTGGTTCAATGTTTATTGAATGAACTTATTGCACATATTAAACCTGGAACTAACAAAGCTTAAATTATTGCCTATAAAAACAACATTACACATTAAATAATCAGTTGCATTCATTTCTTATGGCTCTATCTGCAGCTTTTCCGGAGTCGTTTCTTATGATTACATTTTTCCACAGGCCAACAACAGCTTCAAAAAAACTATTCCCCTCAAAGAACAAACCAAACATGCCCTGTTGTCGCAAGAAAGAAAGTGCAGAAGGAAACATCAGTGTGCTGCTCTGTGATGCTAGTTCAAGCCAGATACTTGGCATCTCATCTTGGGTGCAAGTTCATCAATGTTTGGGGTCAGGCTCTGAGCTGAGGAAACCCTCAGGATTGAGTGAAGGTGCAATATACAGGCGGGCCAGATCTAATAGTAATTAAAAATTATCCTGCGGGCCGAAATTAAATCCACCAAGGGCCTGATTTGGCCCCCGGGCCTTGAGTTTGACGCATGTGCTTTAATTGATTTGCCAGATTAAATTAAGATTAAACTAAAAATATCAGCAGCATACACTGTGACATCCCTGTTTGAGAGGGAAGCACATTCAGACAAACCAAATTGGTGAGAGGAAGTAGGTCTGAAGCTTTATGAAACAACAAACTGGCACACAATCACTAGAGGAACATTAGATATGAATACCTGTCCTAGATCAGTTATATAATAATAAAAACATACATATTCCCCTCTTTAAAAAGGCATTGGTGGGACTCTGAACCGGATAAACCTTAGAAACACTGCCGCCAAAAGCCGTGATGAAGCAAAACTGTTCATTATAAAAGTCGCCTCTCACTTTGCATTATTGATTGTTATGAGTATTTTTAGCTTGTGACGTTCCTGCTCCCACAAAGTTATGTAAGATTGTTATGAATAATACAACGTTTGATGACAATTTAAATGCTTCAGCAGGAACTCAGGGGATTGCCGGATGAGATGTGAACATTTGACGAGCTCACTGGGCATGAATTGTCTATGTGTTTGCAATGTAACTTAATTATTCACCACAATGGGACCAGTTAGGAACTAGGAGAGAACATGGCACGAAGCAAATGGGTAGAAAATGTTTTGCTGGAGGGCCACCCAAGTAACCGACAAAATAATCACTTTATCAGAGACTTTTGTAAACTGACCTGGCTGTTAGTATGAGCCGGTGTTGGTGATTATAAGGCTTTGCCCAAGAATGGGAATTGTTGTTAAACTTTTTCTTTCCATTTATTTCTCTCTCCTGGAAACAGCAGGAGGTGTGAAATAGCAGCATGAGCTCACGCTGCACGTGGCCTGCTGGCTTCCTCGCTGCAGGACGTTTTGTGTGTGTTTCACCACAATACGCTGCACATGTTTTTAATTTATATTTATGGAGTTGTTGTTTTTCTCTATCAGTGTACCTTCATTATATTTTACAATCTCTAAGCAATGGGTGATTACCTTTCCACTCTCATTATGACTTCAACGCATTTGAAACCTTTAATAGGAATTCAAAGCAAATGAATGAGCGTCTTGTTGCTCCCACCTCTCTTCCACTGCACCATGTCTGTCTTTAAACAGGAAGAAGGAAGTGGTGGAGTCAGATTATCTTGAGCCACATCTAATATGTCAAAGTCAGACATCACGCCTTATCTTAATAAACCTGGGCTCACATGCATGTGCACCTTAACACACACATACACACACACGCGCGATCATGATCTCGCAGCTCTGCACAAACTCTGATGTCTTTTCTCACTTCTCCAGGCCTGAAATACTATACATTTGTCCAAACTCGAGCTTAACCACAAAGGTTGACATTATTATCGCCCAGCATGGCTGACAAAAAGCTGGAATTCCCCATAATTTCACCATAAATGTTATCAATGATAACTTAATAAAGGTGTTTTTTTTAAGCAAGGTTATACCCTGGTAAAGCCTTGGTTTGTATAGACCCCTGGCCTCAACATAACACCATATGTTGTTATAGTCTCCATTATTGGTTTCAGTCTCTCTCAACGAGGTCTAAATGCACAGTGACATAGCTCACAATTTGATATGCATATACAGTAACAAGATAAAAAATCTACAGTCGACAAAAAAAGCTCATATAATGTAATCATTTGCTAATCATCCAGCAAAGTACAGCTGAGGCTATTGTGGTGAAATATGAATAATATGGACGATAAACGACAGAGAGGCAATGATTCCAGATGTTCCCAATTGCAGAGCATAACTGAAATATAAACCATGTTTCTTTACCTTTTCTGAGAAAACATTATTAGATTAATAAAAATCTGAGCAGCAGGGGGCCTTTTTGACTAAAACATGTTTCTTTAAAGTGCAATACATATTATCAAGGCTTGAAGAAAAAGACAAAATGACGGGAAGCTTGAAAAAAAGAAATGTGAAAAGCTGGATTGAAAACTGAAATGTTGCACTGTGACGACACATTCATTCTTTGAGTAATGCTGAAACACTTTAACAAACTCCAGATTATGACTTCCTTTGAGGTTTCCAAGCACAGTTTCCCTGCATGAAATGGGAAATAGTTTTACTCTCATTACTACTCAAACCCAAGTGTTTCATAAATGCATTCCACCTGACTCAACCACGGCCCATCCAATGAATTCAGGCATCTTATTGGCTGAAGTTGGGGAAAAACCAGCTCCTCCACTCTGCAGCCCACCGAGGTTCAGCAGGTCACGAGCCAAAGCCTTCACATCTAACTGTGGGTGGATGGGACAGCTGCCTAGCACATTTACTCAACCTTCCTCATCGAATAATTCATTTCTGAGAAGAAGCGGCAACAATTGCCAGGTTCTTTTCTCCACATTTCCTTTGAATAAAAGCAGGCGTGTTATGGATTCAACAGGTGGCCTCAGTTCTCTCCCACGGCCTCTGAGTCAGATCAGAGCAGGTCTTCTTTTTCAATGCTCTCCTGATGTGTGTGGGCGGTTATACATTCATCTTTTTTTATAACCAATTTCAGTATTACAGGGAGTGAGGATTTATAATAAAAGGAGATATTCCATTTTTAAAAGCCTGTTTGAGTCTTTTTAAGGATTAAAGATTTAGGTTTAGAAACGTATAAGAGCTGGGGTTAGACACATGTGTTGGTTAAGTTACAGGTTATTGGCTAGAGAATGCATAGTGCAAATTAGTGGGTTACTGTTCTAGGTATTCCTGACCTCATTGCATGCTAACTTAACCTAAGGTGGCTTAAAGAGGACATATTATGCCCACTCTCAGGTTCAAATGTGAATTGTGTGCCTCTACTGTGACATGTCTCCATGCTTAAAGGTCTTTATTTTTTAAACCCACTTAAAATGAATATGTATGTATCTGTGATTCATCATTAGACAAAATACACTGTATGTAAAAAAGGGATCCCTTGTTGCAAAGCATTGTTGTTTTGAAGGTATATCAGGAAGCTTTTTTTCAGCAAAAGAGCGCTTTCATCCCAATGCACGCTCCCAAAGACTAAACTTGGAAATGCTGAATATTGGAGAATGGAGCGGCATAGATGTCATACATTGAAAACTGAAAATCCACTTCAGTGCAGTCCATTAGCAGCTTGTTTTGCTTCCCCAAATTGAACAAAAACTATTACTGGGAAAGCGATAGAAAACAGTTACAGTATATGGTGACAAGTCATAAGACGGGGGGTTTCCCGTTAGCTATGGTATCTTGTTTTTTCAATATTTTCCTTTTTGGTCAATAGGGGACTTTCAGAGATCGAAAGGTCGCCACCTCATTCTCTCCAGGTCTAACTATATCCCTTTACCTCTTGCTCCTTTCAAGATAACACTACCTTGTGAAGGACAGGAGGGAACTTCCATGACTTGACACCATAACCTGCAGGACAGGGCTTATCGTAGCTATAGGCTGTGGTCTAGGATTTTGTTTCTGATCACATTGTCTGAGTGTTTGTTACACAGATAGTCAATAAAAGGGGAATGTTTGTGTTTGTAACTGACAGAGAAAGAAAGACACCCTCAGGATCTGGCTTTTGGACTCATTACTGTATATTCCAGAGGAGGTTGCACATTCCTGAGACCACACCACATGACTGTAAGGATGGGGGGGGGGGGGGGGGTGAGAGCGGGAGCTACCATTGTTGGGCTAAACTAACACTCAGATCAGATGGGGGGGATTGAACTGAGTAGCGTAACTGTCTATGAGTAGCATTTCCTTGCAGACATGTTGGGGACAGAAAGATAAACAAAGAAAACACTGTATGGCAGAAAAACAATGGCAGACATTAACGGATATGTGATTTAGAGACCTGTGCATTTAGACCTTTTCAAGAGAGAAACTTTTATCACGTGATCATTGACCAAATGATGGGGATCTTTCTCAGTCATCTAAAGCCTAATGGAGGTAGATTTGGCTGAGTGCAGAGTCTGTATGGACGTGGGTTAAGTTGCCCTGTTCCTGTTCCTTGACTCGACAGGAAACAGGAAGTTGCAGAGGAAGAGCCCTCTATCAAAAGAGCCTTACAGAGAGAGGTGGTGGTGGTGGGGTGGGGGGGCTGGCTGGGGAAGTACCACAACAAACTCCCCAGAAAAACTCCACAGCTTAACACACACAAACACAGAATCTCCTCTACAGCTGAGGCACTTCATAACCAAACTATCGGCTACTTACTTGAGACTGACTAGATTTCACACCCATTTTGACTGTAAGTGGTAATACTGTATGTGTTGAATATATCCGCCAATGTTAGGCAAAGTTTCAAAAAAAGTGCAATGACACAGTAAGGGGATTTACCAGTAATATGTCATCTGTTTTACGACATATACTGTAAAGGTCAGATACAGTCTGTGTAGTTGAGACTCAGGTAGGTAGATGTCACATGTTGACGTGTTGCTGTATGTAGATGCTGTGAGGAATACAAAATGTTACCTCAGCAAGTTTATAGGGTACGATGAGTCTCTCTCCGACAGTCACCGTCTTCCTGGTGGTCAGAGCTTCCAGCAGCATCTCCTCTTTGACCTGATGAGGGAAACAAAGACAAAAGGACAAGGTCAAGATCAGGGTTTGGTGCCTAATTATTCCACCAAAATTGGTTCTTATATGCAGGCTTTTTAAGCACAGGAGAACCTGCCTAAAACATAGATTCCTTTCCCATTTCTAGTAGACAAGTATTATGTTTCTGTTCTTTTTTTGGTGTGTAACATTTGATGCCATGTCTGTGCAGCAAGCAATAATAGCAGGGTAAGTAAATAGTGGAATTGTTCATCTTCATATCTGTAACTAATTGAGTCCCTCTCTCAATCCAACAAACCAGAGTTGGTGATTGTTGGACGTGTTTAAACTTGTTTCTGCTGAGCTTAAATAAAGTGTGTTATACGAAGATCAGCAAGGTAAAATGACTGTTTCTGTCAATGGAGTCTGGTGTTTTTTTGTGTTTGTATATAAATGATATTACTATATTACTATTATTTCATTTTAGAAACCATGTATTGACTTAACCACATCATAGCATTTAATTAAAGGAGTTCAAATTAATAAATGATTTGTCCCAGGGATACTGTAAATGCAAATTGTAACCTTTTCCGTTAAAGACAAAAGCCAGATGTTAGTGGGTGTTATTTCGTTTTTGTCCAGTGGGAAAAGAGCTTTAGAGATCTAACATGTTGTCAGAGAGATTTGCTGTTTAAGTTGTGACTTATTAGAGTCAAATGATTGCACTCGGCATCAATAGTAAAACAAACCTTGTTAGTATTAAACATGGCTACTGATCAAACCAAAAGTTATTTCTCTGCGGAGAGCTGTGAGATTACTTTTTGTGATAAACCTTTTTTGATGGGTGAAAGTGATGAAGTCATGGGAACAGTAAGAACAAAAACATGCAGCTATGCCCCGGTCCAAAAATGTGCAAAGGCATGCTTTTATTAAAAGGGTTCTCCAGAAATGTAATATTGCACTTCCATAACGCTGTAAGACTCACACGAGACAGATTAAAAAAAGGAATGAGTACAATTTAAACAGCAGAAGCCGAGATATAAAGACTTTTAGATCCATGTATGGGTCTGATTCCAAATAATGCAGAATCGTACACTTCCCATAATGCAACAGACATACAGAATTCAAGTAAGGCATATAGTTGTGATGGTTAAACAAAACACCTGAAATCTACCAGGGAAGCTTTCTTGCAGCTGACTCCAAACTCTAACTAAAATAACATATATATACTGTATCGTTTAATGTTCATAAGAGGACAATAACATTTCGTATCATATGATTTGTTTGCAAGTACTGTGCACAATGTGATAAATATCAAAGATATGTATTATGTACATTAAAACATCTATTGCATACCATTAGACAATATGTCATTACCCAAACAGTTTCTTGATTAAAACAAGATTATTATGTAGTTAATATATGTGGTTGTAGTGGAATACTTTCCTCAATGTATAAGCTATTTAAAGACAGGCATATCACATTTTGTTTATTTCTTTCTACAGTATAAGCCGTTTCTCAATTGGACTTTCCAGGAAAAAGTGGCACACAGCATACATTACCCTGATGACAGAAGACTTTATCCATATCACTCATCCCTAACAATCTACTAAGCCTCTGCTCACAATAACTCTGCTGCTTTTAACCGACGCAGCTGGCCAAGATTAGCCCGTAAACACGGCTCTCTGCCCCTTTCACACATACGTACAGTACAACACTATGTGGCGAGTTCACACTGACTCTAACTTGGCCCCAGATGAACCATTGATGACAGGGGCCACAGTGAGAAGCAGATGTCCCCACACACATCTTCTACATCTATATGGGATTAGGGGAGTGGGCCGACCAGATGCTGCTCAGACCAAGTGTGTGTGTGAGTGGTTTTTTAGGGTGTGTGGAGTACATGTGGCAGCATGTCTTCTTGTGTGATTGTCTGACGTCTTCATGTGCAACAGTCAAGAGTGTTCAGCTAATACACATTATGGATCTATTTTTGTCAACTGGCTCCTTTTGTTCAGGCTTTAACATAAACAAGACGGGGGGAAAGGCTGCATGTGTGTAATTGTGTGATGTGCGAGTGCGATGCGAGGGTGAGAGTTGCGCTGTGTGCGGGTGTGTCGTTTGTGTGGTGTGTGTGTGTGTGTGTGTGTGTGTGTGTTGGTGGGTGTTTGTGGCAGGTGGCATAATCAGACTTCTATTTCACACTGCCTGGTAATCTCCTCTACAAAAAAGCAAACCCTATTCTGCAGCCTGGTGATTGGTCTTTAGCGGTACATTTCCATGTAATAGTCGCTTGGTAACAGGCTTGCAGCTCCGCCTATGATCACGTCTATATAACGCCATAACACACAGGAGTTTTGTAAACACTGGTCTGGGGTCAGTGATGCTGTTGTTGTATTAACCTTTTTTTTATTTATTTTCCCCCTGAGACATGAAGAGTCTAATCGTAATCTCTGACAGATGCCGTTCTCTATCTTCTATGTTTGATAAAGCAAACACCAACATTCATAGATCATTAGCTCCACTTCTTTGTTTCAATGGACCAATCACAGCTGTGCATGAACTTTGACATCACTAACATTTCTGCTTTTAACATTACATGTCACTGAAGGCTGGAAATATTCTTAAAATGTATTGAAAGGGTTGCAATTAGATGGTATTTTATTGCAATTGGTATCTAGCACTAGTGCAATATCCAAATGTCATTAACCGTTATATTTGGTAAAGGCTAAGTATTTCAAAAAAACACCTAAAACATCTATTGCAATTATTGTGATGCTTCAGAAAGTCCCTATTAAAAAAAAAATCTTGTTTGGTACAGATCCTCCATCCTCCAGTCAAAATAATCGCAATGAGTAACCTTCCTATATTTTGCAGAAATGCTAACTACTAGGGAAAATAAAATCGGCATATTTTCGACTTTGATGAAGTGGCCTTGGGCTTATAAACTGTGTTTTCAGGTACTGTTTTTACAAATAAATGGCATCAACAAATGCAGGCTTTAGTGGGATTTGTCGTCACAGTAAGCTACTCTCTAAGGACCGGTTACCAGTTTGCACAGGAATGTTTTGTGGTAAGCTCAAATCACTCAATTCCCCCGCTCAGAGGATCCAGTCTGTCAGCCGTCCATCAGCCGTCTACTTCCTCCTCCAGTGCCACATCCACAGGAAACAGGAAGTCCTGACTAGTTTCATTCCTATTCATTCATCAATCCACACTGGTGCCAATCACTTATACCACACTTAGAGCTCACATCCTATCCTGAGTGAAATGATAGTTTACATATCAAAGCAAAGTACAGACCGATTTAAACAATGGTTACTCATTCATATTACGACTTCACTTGTTTGTGCACTTTAGCTGAGCTTTCCAGTCTGGCATCACCCACGCATAGCTGCTTTTAACAAACCTCAAAAAGTCATTTAGCATCTTCTCTTATGCAAAGGGTCTTCAAATAAAGTCATGCATCACCAATAAAAACTAAGTGCTAAGTACTTTTGATGGCGCCTGTCTGGTCTGTACATCCATTCTGTTAGCATCGAGCTAATTCAATTAGAAAATAAATTCAAGGCACTTGCTGTGTAAATCATAGTAAATGCTTTTCTGTCAAGTTGCAGTTCAATGAAAGCAACCATTTGACCTTTATAGCCAATTTATCAATTTATTTCTCCAATAAACATCAAAAATGTGTACTTATTATTTCTGGAAAACAATCATTTTAAAGAATTGTTGCATGCAACAAACAACCAATGCTTATGCTTTAAGTATCTGCCCTTTTAGTCAACTACTCGCATGAAATACAAGTGATTTTCCCATTGGTTGACCGCTCTTTTGTCCCATCAAAACATTCTGTTGCCACAGTAAAGAGTTCAGATCGCCCCTCCAAATGCAGTTTGAATGTTTCTCTTTGTTTGTTTGATTTCATTAGGCTGTGTTTCGTTTTTCCTTCTTTCTTCTTATTCCTTTTAAGAATGTTTTTAAACGTCACTGGGGACAAATAGCCATTGCACCAACTAACCGACCTCCAAATAAACTTGGACTTAAAACACTAACCCGAACATGTGGCCGACATGTGGCTGAGCCCACGTCACTGAACCCTGGACCTGTGGAGAGTCAAAGAGCCCGGCCTGGATGTTAAAGGGGAAACCAGAGCGGTCCTCCTCAGTCATAACATCCCGCCGGGCTGTTGACAGGAGGCTCCAGCACACTTCGGACATTGTTTTGTCAGCGACTCAACAAGCACATCCGGCTAATCGTTGCAGTTTGTAACGGGGACTGGCCACCATCCCTCGACCCCGAGGAAAATCAGAACAGCATGTGGATGTTTGAGCCGTCCTCACAGAAAACAAGTGTGTGTGTGTGTGTGTGTGTGTGTGTGTGTGTGTGTGATGTGTGTGTGTGTGTGTGTGTGTGTGTGTGTGTGTGTGTGTGTGTGTGTGTGTGTGTGTGGTGTGTGTGTGTGTATGTGTGTGTGTGTGTGTGTGTGTGTGTGTGTGAGGTTTGCACTCAGTGTCAAGAATGAACACACATTCAGCACAACATCATACACTTTGTAAACGCTGCGTGGCACGTTAACCCAGCCAGGAAATCTTTTTCAATGTCTCTGGTCATCATTTGGACGATAATTACAACATTTTTCTAGATTAAGGTCATTAAAATATACATTATGCGCAGATCAAAGCCTAAATAAATGCTTTCAACTGTTTAGTTTTTTGATTGTGCAATTATACAACAAATAATGCAACAAAAGTGAGGTTATGAAAACATGTTAAAATGAATTGACCAGCGTGAGACTGCCCACAATGCACATGTAAAGTAGTCTACGAGGCAATTTACTTCTACAGTTTGACCAAAACATTGTTGTTGAATCCAGATGTCGGCTAAACTTCATTTGAACTTTATTTACAGAGACAAACTAACTATGCAATTATATTAGTAATGATTGCATTGTGCAAGCAAGGACAAGACTGACCAATCAACAAGCATCCATTAGAGACAGACCTTAACAGCTAAGCTATAAATAATCAGCACTTTGTGAAAAATAAGTGCTTTACAAAACATTTCACTGTTGTTTTTACACTCATTTAAATATAATTTGACCATGCAGGTGATTTGAGTCAACAATGATCTGTTGTTCATATGGGGAAAGCTCGCCCACGCAACAGCACGGCAGCACAAGAGGTCTGAAAATAGCTTCAAAACAAAGTGAACTTAGTTGAAGCGCCGGATGGTTGGACGGCTCTTTGAGACCTGAAGCACCTCTAACTCTCACTGTCACAACAAGCAGTACTCGTGTGCAGAGAGCTCTCTGAAGGCTCTTTCCTACAGAAGGTACTCCTGGCATCAGGATGCAAAATGCCTCACAGGGCTTGAAGAAGAAAAAACACAGCAAAAGGAAACTAATTCAAACTCCAGTGGATGTTGAAGTCTGTGGAGTTTCAAGTATCTCCAGTAAGCGTGTAATAGAATCACTTTTGGAGACAAAATGGCAGAGAAAGTATTTAGGGAGAAAAACAAGCTCTGCGGTAAATCCCTGCTCCAATTCTTCATTTTTATTATCCTTCAAAGTATTTGGAGTCGGCGAGACACAATGTACCGAGTAATCTGACAAGGACAAGTGGCTTTTTCCATTGGACTTCCACATAAAAACTGCATTATTATTAAAACTCAACTTTATCTCGCCATTCCACAGCATTACATACAATGGATTTGATCTTTACTAAGGTCTCACCTCGAGCAGCTCGGAGACGACGGGCAGGCCCTCTGGGTTGCAGATGTCGATGGAATCGTCTCTGTAGGTCTTCTTCTTGTAGCGGATGTTTCCCAGGTGGAGGATCGCTGACAGCAGGGAGAAGATCCTGAAGACGAAGAAGAAAAAAGGCACTTATTGTTAAGACATTTTCCTTGTTTTTGGGCAGTAAAATTACTGTCCTATTGAGTATGTTTTACCACACTTGAATTCAGTTTCTCTGCTCAGGGATTCTTTATCAGGACACCTTGTAGGGTAACATCCTGTGGCATTTCTGCTACTAGATTCGTTATATCCTTAAAGACTTTGTATCTGATCAAATATCTATCTATAAGAGTTTATTCAGTTCAAAACAGGATGCAAGTTATACTCACAATTTCTGATTCAAGCCGAGCGAAGAACATGACTATACAAAAGTTCCTGACCTACACCTTTTGAAATATTCAATACAAATGACTTTAATGACTTTAGGGACTCTATTTGTCTCCTAAAAAAAGAGTAGTTTAACATTTGGGAAATACAGTACTCTTATTTGTAATATTTCTTTAAGTAAGATGAGAAGATCAATACCACTCTTGTTTGTTAATCAAATACAAAACTATTGACCAGTGCCTGAACGAAAATCCGATAAAGAGTGAGTAGTTACAGATAGATTTGTGTGTGCTTTAGAAAAGTCTACGTAAACCACTTGACCCTGATTTTACAGACAGGGATGAGGTTTTGTGATCATAGGTAAGACATTTATAGTAAAATGCAATGATTGTTTTTGTTGTCCTGTGGTTACATATGTTTGGATATCATGCTTGTTTTAGTTTTTTTATGTTGAATTTGTTGTCTATTATACTGGGACCATGTTGTAAAAATCTCTTTATCTGTGGGTGCCTTTGTTTCTATGTCTGATTATCCATAAAATGAATTGGTCATTTATATAAATCAACAGTTGTACAGCTGATCTTACTGTTTGCGTGTGGTGGGTAAGAAGCCGACCATCTCCATGGCGAGCTGCAGCCGCTCAAAGTCGTGTTTCAGATCCTCTCCTTCCACTGTGAAGCAGTCCTGCTGGTGTCAGGTGGAAACACACACACACAGAGAAAGGGAGAAGAGAGAGACATCAGTATCATAATGGATTTCTTAAATACATTTTCAACATATAAACTTCTGCCTTAAACCTTCCGAAAACAATCCAAACTATTCCACTGCAAATAAAGATGACTTGGAGCTTTGTGAGACTAATGGACGAATGTTTCAGAGCTGAATGAGTCTATCTACCGTACACGTGTACTGAAGAATATAAATAAGAGTGTGTGAATATGTGTGACCAAGCAGGGTTTCCCCCTATATATCATCAGCTAATATATCAGGAAGTTATTGCACCATAAAATGAATGAAATATAAAAAATATATATATCATGTAATCCTTAAATCTAAGGTAGAACTAGGGCTGTCCCTTGTAAGTCGATGTGTTAGTCGGTTTCTAACCCTACTCATCAGATGGCAAAGACCACATCTTTATTGGATAAGACCATCACATACAAACTAAAATGTATTAGCAGTGATGGCCATCTAACTCAGCTCAGCAGATGACTGATTAATTACTCAAATTATATAGTAGCTTGAAGAGATTAATTATAGCAGAGTGGAAATGAAACACAAGCCACCTCTGTTAACACGTTTTCTGGGGAAACTCCGCTTAGTGAACATATGAATGCATTTCTGTGTCACTGGTAGTCAGTAACATCATACAGTGATAGTAGCGTAGGAAAAAAGTGAGGTATGTAGATGTGTGTGTATACAGTGACTGTGTGTATACAGTGTGTGTGTGTGTATACACAGTGACTGTGTGTGTGTGTCTCCTCAGGCCTCCGGTTGGTCAGCATGTCTCGCTCAGGCTGTAATTAGCACATACCACAGCGAGCGGCCAGCGAGAGGAGACTCAGGAACCCATAATCCACACTCTCCTCTTCTTGTACGCTTTAACATTCAACACTCCTCTGCCTCTCCATTGTTTTCCTCTGGCTCCGAAACTACTCAGGAAGTGCGGAGCCAACAATCGGCGTATTTCTCCTGCGAGCTTCTCCAATTGCAACAAAGGGGTTTTGAGGCTTCTCCAGCCACGACGAGACCCGTGTAAAAAGGCAGTTTTCAAATTGCTGGGTATGTGAGACCTCAGTGCCAAGCAGCACAATGTGATACGTTTAAGGAAGTTGAGAAATAAAGAGATCAATTTGGGTCTGTTGCGAGGGAATACTTGGTTGAAAAGCAAAACCGTAGCTATTGGTGCTTCTTGAGAAAGGATGATTAGGAAACAATCTGCTCTTCTTTCAGATTTTAAACAAAGAATCTCTTCTCACTCATAACAATTGTAACTGTTTGCCGGTTGCAAACACTTCTGGTTGCAGAATTACACCAAATTGAGTCAAGCCCAGCTGACGCAGCACATGCAGCTTTTTAACAGATTCGCTCATGGATCCAGTTAAAATTAATGTGCCGTCCAGCCGAGGCTTACTTACCATGACTTAATCATGATTTATGTTGACAAGGCACCCTGTCGATTCTGCGGCAAAAGCAGCATGCCACCCCGTCACTAGACATTCCACACGACCATAAACCATAGACACCAAAACAAGCACAAAATGCATTTATAAAAAAAAACACAGCCACAGCGGCCCAGAACCAAACACCCGACTGCACACATCAAACACAAACATCCAGAACATGTTTGGTCTTTGGGATGTTAGTCAATCTTTTATGAATTCACATTGGTTTATTTTCTATTTTCAGCTCCAGACGTTGCATCTGGAGTCTGTATACACACATGTCTAAAGCATTGGGTGTCTCTATTTACCGCAGCGAGCCCACCCCCCCCCCTACATTAGCCAATGGGAGAGGTCAAGGGTTAAAAAGACCCAAAGGGCTGGTCAGATGCTCAGACAGCTGTCAAGAGCTGCTGTGTGTACGTGTGTGAGAGTGTGAGTGTGAGTGTGAGTGTGAGTGTGAGTGTGAGTGTGAGTGTGTGTGTGTGTGTGTGTGTGTGTGTGTGTGTGTGTGTGTGTTTATGGGTTTGTCAAGACGGTGACATCATGGCATTGAAGCGGGGGTCACAGACTGATGAGGTCATTGGCAGACCCTTGAGGGAGACAGCGTGCCAGCAAACAGCGAGGCGGGGGATATGAAAAATATGAGAGCGAGGAGCCGAGGGAACAAGCGTCAGCGAAGTTTAAGGAGTAGTTCAACAATTAGGCAAAGGAACATTATAGGCTTCCTTTGCAAGTGTGAGATGAGTGAGAAGATACATTAAAATGTGTTTATGTTGTCTTTTGGGACAGCAAAGCAAATGTATTTCCATGTTGTGGCCCCTAGTAATAACAAAACAATTCAAAACAGCTTAAAATAAAACGAAAGAAGGCATTATGATAACCTTTCAAATAAAAACAAGGCCATATAAGAAAAAAGGTTTTGAAGATGCTAAAATATAATAGAGGATAGCAATTCAAAATCATGAAAATAAACAAATATATGGGATCAGGGCGTGGTTAGCCTAGCAAAGCTAAGCATTTGGGAAGTAGCTAGCCTGGTTCTTAAAAGCTGACTTGATAACATGATGTTTTTGTAGCTTAATGCCTTTAACCAATACATGAACCAAATATAATATTTATGGAGTTACATGGTCTATTTCTTGATAAAATTACGTTTTATCCATCTGCCCATTGCTCATGTGAAGCATATTTAAGTAGGCTACATTGTGAAAGTTATCGTGTTACTCCAACCAAAATCAGAAATGGACCTTCTTAAATGTTTGTGTTATGAAGACAAACTAAATACTGTCTGTAAAAATGGCATCTTAAGAGTTGTAAGTATGTGTCGTTTTTCACAGTAGAAACAGCTATTTTATGCTAAGCTAGGCTAAAACACATCATTGCTTTAGCTCTAAAATGAACGCATCAATCATGTCAATCTTACAGTTTATTTTTATAATGCTGAAGTTTTCTTTGAAAAGGGTAGTTTTCAGATAATATGTTTTTTGACTATCAATTAATCTGTCCTATAGGCTGGCTTTAAAAACGTTAGATGTGTAGCTTTCTCCTTTTTAGGAACGGAAGCTGCTTGGATTCACAATGGCTAAAACAGTTTGATATTTTAACGAGGACTGACAATGAAAAATAAGAATTAAAGCGACATCAAAGACATTTCTAAAATCCTCAGCAGCATAAGCTTTGATGTGCATTGTTGCTATGTTAGAAGAAATCCTAAATTCGTCAATAAATGCTACTTTCATTGCAACGATGTGTCAAAGTGATTTTAGAAATGTACACAGACAGCATGTCTCCACATTTGTTGCCTTGACATTAAATCAATTGTGAACCCTGGGAATCCTACGGACGACAGAATATCAGAGCTGAGCATAATGGGGAGTATTTGATATTTCAAAGACAGATTGTATGTGCAAAACTCATTTAACTAGATGAATGTGAAACAGGATCTATTGTACATTAAGAGTGTCCTCAGAAAACCTTTCCTGAATAAAAAGAAGTGGGGGACAATGAGCCAAAATCAAGAGCTAAGACCAACAGATGAGTCCTATTTATTCTGACCGACTCTCATTTCAAGTGTTTGCTCGCCGGCAAAGTCAAAGTAACATAATCTCCTATTAGCAGATACTGAATCCCTTAACCACACACACCATATCCCACTGACCAAACATCACTCACCTCAGGTGGAGACAGTGGCTCAAAGAACGGTACACACTCACACTCTCACACACACACACACATACACACACACACACACACTTAGAGGGAAGTTTCAGGATGTGATTGATCACTTTTTAAACAAACTGCATGTAAGGAAGTTATCTTTTAAGAAATAACAAGTAGTAATTTGAATTCGTACAACTTTTAAATCCTGGTTGATTATACCTACCTCACAGAAAGGTTTGATAGTAAAAGCTATTGTGCTGATATAAAATGACCTCCCTCTGTATATATTTTTGTACCTATTTAATCATTCAAATCAAAAGCTGTTTTTGTTAACATTCATTTTCAAGAAATCTTTAAATAGTGCATTGTGTAATAGCAGGATCCACTATTCCCGAGCTGGATTCTGGTTACATATGGACACACGAGAGAAATCCAGCTTTTGTAATGTTATCTTATTGATCCAGGCCTCACTGCTCACTTTCATTCAGCCGAATAATAGCTATATTAAGTTACTGCTTATGTAAACCTAACATTTGGCAAACAAGTTGTTGGCTTTTACTGTTAGGCAGATACTACTACAACCTTTTAAATAATCAAATTTGACAGTCCTGACAATAAGGGTTTGTTTATATTTGATTATGTTTTTAAACTATTGGATTATTTTCAAATATCTATTGGAAATTTAGTTTAAGTATTGATTCCTACTGACTTATACCTGACATATATTACAATTACAAATGAAAAGTTAATTGAAGGAAATTCCTCTGCAAACATTGCATCTGTTTGTGAATTCATATGCCATTTATCTGCAGTCTTCTTGAACAACCTTGTCCAAATAAACCTCATTATTATATATAATACTGACAGTTTTTCCTGTTTTTCTGCTCTTGTATTCAACCTTATGCTAATGGCTGTTTTGTTATAATAACCCTATGACTTCTACTTTCTCTAAAGTACATTAACTTGCACTGTTTTGTTATATTTCAGTTAATGAATGCAAATGTGGCGTTTGAAGTGAAATCCTGAACCTTCCCTTTAAAGACAGCAGATCCCAGATTCAACATATTTTCCATAAAATCCCGACAGCAAAGCATCCAAAGCCAAATATTAGTTTAAAGGGATCCCTTTATGTTTGAGTTTTATTTAGCTTATTACCATACTGAAGATATATAGTTATGTAGCTTTGTTTCAAGAAGAAATTAGGATTTAAGAGGTCAAATTCTTCTTATCATAAAAGGAGAAATGTGTTTTTGACCTCCGATATGTCTCTGATTTGAATGTTAAAATAAGGAAATTCAACTAAAATACCTATTAGAAAATTAAGCTATACAAATGAAGTGTCAAGTTTTACTAACACCTCAATTTAAATGAGATACTGCATAAAAACCATCGATAAATATATTTTACAGTATCAGAGTCTTTACAATAAATGGATCCCTTTAAACGTTTTATTTTCTGAGTGTGACCCGCTGAGGTCACTTCAGGTCGCCTCAGTCTTTGATCCAAAGCAGGCGTGTGTGTGTGCACAGCGGAGAGAGAACGAGAACAAGCCTGGCACCAAAAACCCCGAGCACAACGACACACCCAACGACACACACAGACGAGTCGTCATCCACAGGGATACTGACCAGGTCGCTCTCATAGTAATTGTCCCAGTGGAGTTTGTGCGATTTCTTTGTCATCTGGAAGCAAGGCAGAGCGGGTTTTAAGAAGGCAGGAATTACACAACAACAAAACGCACACTGAGAAAAGTGACACATGCTGTTAATATGTGAGGAAGAAAAGTACTAATCCTCACACACAAGGAAACAGACACACACACACATCTCCAGTCATTGAATCCAGAGGTTTCATATTTCTGAAAACTGCTTCAATGATGTCACTGACTTTCTTTCATTATGTGATCTTTACTTTCAGAAACGAATACTTTGAGTAAAAGTATAGACGTTTTCATTACTACTGTACGTATGCACTTATCTAGCACCTTACTGTATTAGCTGGTTGATACTTTGTACTTTATTGTATACTGTACAAAAGTGAAATAGTAACTGTAGACTTAAAATAAGCATAAAAGCGGTCAACATAACATTGAGTACGTAAAGTAAAGTACAGGTGCTTAAAATATCTAATAAACATTCAAATCCTTAACATATTTAATAATAAAAACCTTTTTTAGTATTTATTGTCTGCAGCCCAGTAAATCCTTCTATTTAAACTACTTTTGATTGGTCCGGAGACAGCCATTGCAACGCTGGATTTAACATTACCTAATCACATATTACATTTGATATGGCACTTCTTAGCAAACTGTGTGTCTGTTTGTTGTGAGGAAGTGTGAAGTGGGTTTAAGAGCTATTTCAATTTAAAAAAAAAAGCCCAGCTGAAGCCGATAACAGCACATAATAAGAGAGGTGAGAGTTAATACATTATTATTACATTGTTACTTACAACAATGAGTTGTAACTTGCACAAAGATCTGTTAAACTAAGCTGCAGATTCAGGTGAGAATCCTCTGTAGGATAATCACAATGAGCAACACTTACTTACAATTTATATTATTATTATCTAAAATGTTGGTTATTTAAGGATTACAGGAGACGGGGGAATGTACTGCTGAGAGACTGACAGGAAGACACAGATGAACACTGAGAGATAAATATGGATAATAATTTTGCTCCTCTGTGACACCATGTGTTTCAGGAGTGTGTGTGTGTGTGTGTGTGTGTGTGTGTGTGTGTGTGTGTGTGTGTGTGTGTGTGTGTGTGTGTGTGTGTGTGTGACCGCCGGCGCTCTCTGAGCAAGTCAACGCCAGATTAACTCCTGAGTATGTGCGGTTGCCATGGAAACAGAGCTGCATGGTAACACGAGGATGTTAGGATGAGTGTGTGGGGGGGGGGTGTTGTTGTTGTCATTGGGGATTAACGGAGGGTAAGAAAAACAAAAAATGTGACTTTTTTGGGACGCCAAAAGAGAAGAACAAAGGAGATTTTGTTTTGGGTTGTTGCGTCCCAAGTGTACTGATATAGGACGAGGGAAATTGAGTCTTACACATCTGCTGCCAACACACACAGATGTACCGAGAAAGATGCACACATATGGGCTTTTGGCACGTGAACACAACCCTCCATACACATATATCACACACACACACACACACACACACACACACACACACACACACACACACACACACACACACACACACACACACACACACACACACACACACCCACACACACACACACACACACACACACACACACACACACACACACACACACACACACACACACACACACCACACACACACCCACACACACACACACCACACACACACACACACACACACACACACACACACACACACACACAGATGCAGGGTTGACATTTCTTGGCTTCTGAGATTAACACTTCAGAGGAGTGATCCAGTTCTGATAAATGAGTAAAGAAGAGAGAAAGGAGGGAAAGGAAGATGCTGAATTTGCTATAATCATCTTCACCATCCATAAATCTCTCTACTTAGTGCCTTCAAGCCTCATTTATCAATAATAAAGTATGGAATTTACGATGAATGTTCTTTATTTGTAATGAGAGGAATTGTTATTACCATTTGAAATGAATTCTTCGTAGAGCAGTAAAACTAAAATGTCACTTGTGAGATCCACTTTGTTTTATGTGGCGATTTACGGGTGATTTAGGAGGATTTGTGGCACTCACCAATTTCCTCACATTGGAAATAGTCTCTTAGGTATGCACAGAATAAGTGAGCGGAAGTGTGCTTTTGCTTCACAAGAAAAAAACATTTTAATTTTAATTTAAATGATCATAATCTGAATATATTTGGAGTTAAAATATAAGGACACGATTAACTAAAAGGTAATGATAACAATGTTTTCACACAAATTACAAGTCAGGTATTTTATGTCTTACTCAATTACCTTGTTATTCTTACTGTCACAGAATAATTTCCCCTTAAAAAGGCTTTTGATTCAATAAGAATAACTGTTGGTTTATCATCGTTGGTGTATGCTGCTTTGGATTGATTTCAAGAATAACATGTGTGTCTTTTTGTCATGTCACAATAAATGTCTTTGAGTCATTGCTTGATTCTAATTCTAATTAGAACCAACAGCACAAGTAGTTAATGCTTTAAATTAATTGTAAAAAGTCATTGTAAATAACATATTTTTAAGAGCAAGTCAGCATTGTGCAGCAGCTTTTACCTCCTTTTCATGGTGTTAGAACCAGGATTTTACTCATTTGAAAGCCAACACATCAGAAAGGCATTAACATATGTCAGAGATTTGTATTTCTATATGTACTGTGTTTCTGCTTTGGTGTGTGTGCGCACCTGGTTGAGGTAGTGGTATTCCTCAGGTTTGAGCAGGTGGAAGGACTTCCTCTCTTCTTCACTGGCTCCGGCCAACAGGTAGTAGAAAACATGGTAGTTCCTACACACACAAAACACACACACACACACACAAAACAAGTTAGAGGGTATGATTCTACAACACGAAACCCCTTCCTTTATTGATTTCTTGAAACATTTTAAATTCCATCAGAGGTGAAGTGAGGATGGCAGCTTTCACATCTCCTCGCTCCGCTGAAACGACGCCTCAGGGAGAAAACTCTGTTCAAAGATTTGCAAAAGAGCACAGTGAAAACCATCTGTTTGCCGCCTGTTCCACAACTAAATCCTGTAGCATTTAACAAATAAGTCACACCTTTTCAACCCCACATGCTCACATTTCAACTCAGACAAAGCGGCAGTGTGTTGTGTAGGCTGCAGGTCAGGAGATGAGCTTCTGTGACAAATGCTGAGAAGTAATTTACTACATCTGGAAACAAGCTTCTCTTCTCTGCACAGGGACGCTTAGAGTCTGATGGAGTGGTGGAAAGTTAGAAAGCCCCGAGCGGATATTAAAGAATCCCGATCTGTAATTGGTGGATGAGGAGAAGGATGATTTTAATTAAAAACTAAGATGTAGTACGAGTAGAGCTTACATTTTAATACAATACTAAATATTATATATTCCCAGGCATTTTCCAGGCGAAACTTTGATTCTTTTTCGACATCCTTCCTTTGGATCCACTTTTTCATATACAGTCACATTGTACTTTTTGTCATTTGGATTCTTTGTGCATTTTATTATGTTATGTTAGATATGTTTATTATCTAATGATGTCTAGTCTCCGTTTCCCTTCGATTTGTATTTGTTTGGTTTTTCCTTGTGCTTACTAAGGATAGAGAGGGTCATATGACACGTGTATAATTGTGATATTAGGCTTTATAAATGATGAATTGATTGATAAATGTATGATTTTCATCACCGTCATTGCTCCTGCTGTTATTTCAGCTACGATTAACCAGGAAATCTGACCTCATGAATATGCTACGATATGCTTTCTTCCTGTGTAAACTTCAAACCTTTCTCAAAATAATACATTGAATCATCCTTAAGAAGTAACTCTTAATAAACCTTAATTTTAACAAACACTGAATGAGCTTCTAAAATAGTTCCCTAGCTGGCGGCCGATCTGAAGTCCCAGCAGTAAACAGGAATGCTGACATGTGCAGATCAGGTTTCTTAATGATTACAGTGTTTTCAGGGCAAAGGGGACTCGTTGTTTCCCCGAACACATCCATTACTGACATGGATACAAAACCTAAACCAGTGCCCTTGACCCCAAAAAGATTTGTGCTAACCCGCCAAAGGGCTCGACTTCAGGCTGAGTTTATAACCATCAGCAGAGCCATGCTAGCTGTTTCCTACTGATTCCATTCTTTGTGCTAAGCTAAGCTAGCTAGCTGCTGGTGGTGGTGGTCATAGTGAGCGTACAGATGTGAGAGATTGCTCAATCATGTCAACTCTACCACTGTTTTTAAATCGCTTCTTAAAACCAATCTCTTGTCCTTGGCGTATTGACATCTTTTAGATTATTGCTTTTATTGCTTTTAAATTGTCTATTGATTTTACTTGTACTTGTTTTATGGTGTGTGAGCTGTGCTGTGTGATCTTTTGAATATTTTGTTTGTTTATTTGACTGTACAGCACTTTGGTCTGGAGGTTTTAAAGCTGTATTGTATTGTATTGTATTGTATTGTATTGTTAAAGATCCTCAGTGACAGAAGTATACAACACAATATATTAAAAGAAAACGTCCATCCATCTTCTCCCGCTTATCCGTGGTCGGGTCGCGGAGGTAGCAGTTCCAGCAGAGAGCCCCAAACGTTCCTTTCCCCACATCAACCAGCTCTGACTGGGGGATCCCAAGGCGCTCCCAGGCCAGCGAAGAGATATAATCCCTCCACCTGGTCCTAGGTCTACCCCTCGGTCTCTTCCCAGCTGGACGTGCCTGGAACACCTCCCTAGGGAGGCGCCCAGGTGGCATCCTTACTAGGTGCCCGAACCACCTCAACTGGCTCCTTTCGACGCGAAGGAGGAGCGGTTCAACTCCGAGTCCCTCCCGGATGACTGAACTTCTCACCTTATCCCTAACGGCCCGTCCACACAGCGGCGTGCGTTGAAAGCTTCACCATTCACTTTGAATGGTTTGACGTCACTTTTCGCCGAACTGCATTGTGGGAAGCGAAGCGGAGCATTGCTGGCGTGGCTCGCTGCAAAAGTTGAGCAATGTTCAACTTTTGAAGCCTCGGCAGAAGCGTCAGCCAATCGAATCATATGCCAGTACAAGCTCTAGCCAATCAAACCGCTGCTTGTGTGTCAGGGGCGGGAGATTCATGTGATTGGTTGTTGGTCGAGTTTCAGACACGCCCGCCGTCAAGCTTCAACGCATGCCGCTGTGTGGACGGGCCGTAAGGGAGACGCCAGCCACCCTGCGGAGAAAACCCATCTCGGCCGCTTGTATCCGCGATCTCGTTCTTTCGGTCATGACCCATCCTTCATGACCATAGGTGAGGGTAGGAACGAAGATGGCCCGGTAGACAGAGAGCTTTGCCTTCTGGCTCAGCTCTCTTTTCGTCACAACGGTGCGGTAAAGCGACTGCAGTACCGCTCCCGCTGCTCCGATTCTCCGGCCCATCTCAAACTCCATTGTACCCTCACTCGAGAACAAGACCCCGAGATACTTGAACTCCTTCACTTGGGGTAAGGACTCATTCCCTACTTGGAGTGGACAGTCCATCGGTTTCCTGCTGAGAACCATGGCCTCAGATTTAAAAGAAAACATACCACTTATATTTTCAGACAGAACCACACTTTGCTGACAGCCTTTTATTGAACCAACCAGCATCAAAGTTAAGAGCCATGAAGCCTCACAGCGTTACTGCAAAGCGCAGCTCGTTTTGATTTTCCTCCTCTAAAGGTCGAACAGAGGCAACCTGTCATGATGCGGGAGTTTTAAGATTTAAGGTAGTTTGCATTTCATCATCAGTCCGTCTTCTCCCCCACCTCTGTGCTTCGTCTGGGGGGTCCCGTCTTCAGTTTCTACCCTCTATCAATATGGCTGCCAGGGCCTGTCATCAGCATGAAACAGAGACCCCGGGCCAATCAGGGTGAGAGGGATTAGATGACCGGCGGAGGCTTTTACAATGTTTCTGTTCCTTCTTGTAAAAAACCATTACGCTGGTGGGATCTGAGGGTCTTTTTCTGTTTGTTTCAACTGTTGAATGATACGGAGGCAGACCCAGACAAGAGTATGTGGTGTAAGAGAATAACCATTCTTTTAGGGATGTGGGTACAGGTGGCGATTTCTATGTGTTTATGTATAGGTGTGTGCTGCATTAGAGGATGTGCAGCAAATAAAACAAGAAGTGAGAACAGACAGAGAAACTGAACACAAAGAAAAGATGAAATCACAAAAGGAGTTTCTCATTCTCTAAAATAGTTCTGCTGTGTAATTAAATGACTGAACTCAAAAGGGACACGTGATAGTTTGCAGTGTTAACTTGCAAAGCAGAGAGCAGAGGCGTATCTCAGATGGACACCTGATATACTGTATGTGCTCAGCTTGAAGAGGAAGTGAAGACTATTTCAGTATTATGTTTCTGAGACACATCCGTGAAGAGATATGGATTTGACATATTATTTCTCAACAAGAAGGAATATGACTCTCAATGTTTCACGTTTCTGTCCTTCTCTCTTATTATTTATAGCTGTACCAGGGTTAGGGTTATATATTTGAGATGTTTAATGGAAAGAAATGTGTATTTACAAAGGAAGTTTATGGTTTAAACAGATGTTCATGGTAATGTGAC